ATCATCTCCCACTCCTTTTGGTTCAGATCTGGTTCAGTTTATGGTTCAAGATTGATCCTTGAAAATATGATTTTCTAAATAGGGAATACGATTCCCAGTTGAAGGGAGAGATAAAATTTTTGAAATTCGCCCCTTATTCCGCAATCTTTGGGCGTCCATAGGATGGATCTCTCATCCCTTCAAATATGTGATCTAAAGTGTGGTGTTAAGTGAGAGGAATCCAGTGATTGACTGGAAATAAATATGAGGTCACAGGTCCAGATGTTTTCTCTGATGGATCCAAGAATTGTCTTATCCGACCATGATGTATTCTATTATTGCAAGGAATTTAGGGTTTGGAAAACGAGTCTAAATCTCTTTCTTTGTAGCGAGGGATATTTTTGGTATTAAATTCAAACATCTAACATTCCACAATGGCATTATTGATATTTCTCCCCATTCTTTCAAAGCTAAACGTTGAATGCTGCTTTAATAGGGGATGCTGAAGGGTTAAGATGAAACTGAGGGGAGGTTTTTGTATTTATCTGAAGTCTCAGCGGAGGTTTGCACACTTGGCTACTAAAATGTTATTGTTTTCTATATTAACCTCTTTCCCTATTGTAGTTACCTTCTTTAAAAAAAAATCTATAAGTAGGAGATCAAAATAATTGGAAAATTACTCCTACAAATTTCTACTGCCTATTCCTTCTATTTTGTGTAAAACCACCATTAAAGCGACATGGAAGTGCCCACAAGTTTGAAATATTTCTGCCTAGGTTCTCATGCTACACCATTATATATTATGACAGTTGAACAGAGCTTTGTATCCTCATCTATACATTTTCCTTTCCTATAAACGAGTGTTTTTTGTGTTACTAGCTAGGTAATGACCATGGTTATCCAGTTATCTAATGCCTGTTTGTACAAAACGTTCTTCGGAGTTATGCTACTCCATTTTAGAGATTACATCCTTTATTAGTTACTAGAGATTGTTGACTTGATTTTCATTATTTCTTCTTTTGACCTTTAAATTAAATTAAATTCTAGTTGTCATCAGTATTGGAAATGGTGTAGCTGATGATATAATCTGTACGTGCATAGAAAGAAACAAAAGTAGATAGCAAGAAAGCCAAAGAAAGAAAGAAGAGAGAGAGAGAGAGAAAAGACCAGATTTAACGTGGTTCAGCCAAATTGCCTACGTCCATAGGCAACAACTTGTAACTTTTCTTCTTCACTATAAATAAGAGAAAATACAACACTAAAATAACCTCATCAGAACCTCACTCGTACCCGTCACCCAATACACCCAACACCACACTCTTCTCAACACACTATATACAATGAAAATGAAATGGATGAACGGAGGAGGGGAACCCTATTTATACTTGTAGAAAGGGGTATAAAGGGAATTTTGAAGAAAAATTACAATCACATACTTAAGCGGTGAAAATAGTCTTCACTGCCAAGTAATAAAAATAGGTGGGCTCCTACCGGTGGGCCACCGATTGTGATATGGTGGGCTTAGTTGGTGAACCACCGTTTGTAAAATGGTCGGCTTAGTCAGTTTGTTTTACTAGCCCACTGAATCTATTTTAACATTCTCCCACTTGAAAACTATTTTCGTAGTGAAAAACCCTATCAAGAATAGTTGTTGATCATCTTTTGTTAAGTGGCTTCAAGACCTAGAGAAGTTCTGCACTAGATAAACTTCTTCTCATCACAGGCTTTGTTAGCATATCAACAACGTTATCGTTGGTGTGAATCTTTTGTGATGAGATATGCTCATCCTCAATTACTTCACGAACAAAGTGGTATTGTACATCAATGTGTTTGGTTCGAGCATGAAAGACGGGATTTTGTGCTAAGTGTAATGCTCTTTGACTATCACAATGAATAGTCACCACTTCTTCTTTGATGTGGAATTCTTTAAGCAACCTTTTTAGCTAAATACTTTATTTGCATGTTTGTGTAGTTGGCCTATATTTTGCTTTTGTTGTAAATAAGGCCACTATAGATCGTAATTTTGATGCTTAATTCACAGTGCCATTAGCTAAAGAAAACACATAGCCGGTAGTTGATTTTCTATTATCACGATTTTCTGCATACTCCTCATCTATATAACTAACTAGCTTCAAGCTTTGGCCACTATAACAAATGAAGACTTCAAAAGTACCCTTCAAGTAACAAATGATCATTTTTACCGCAGTCCAATGATCTCTTCCTAGATTTGCTATGAACTTACTGATTGCTTCCACTGCTTGTGCAATGTCTGGTCTGGTGCACATCATAGGAAATATAAGACTCCCTATTACTGATGAATATGGTATGTGGGACATCTTTGTCTTCTTAGCTTTAGTGTTAGGAGATTGTTCTAAAGACAACTTGCAACCAACAGGAAATGGGATACTAATTGGTTTGGATTATTGCATGTTGAAGTGGCGCAAGATCCTTTGAACATAACTCTTTTGAGTTCTCCAGACTTTCTTGTTCTTTTTGTCCCTATATACCGTCATCCCAAGAATTTTATTAACTGTCCCCAGATCCTTCATGTCAAACTCCCTAGCTAAATGAGCTTTCAATGTTGTGATACTTCCTTTATCAACTTTATCAGTACCTGCAACTAGCATGTCATCAACATATAACAATAAAATGATGAAGTGATCATTATCAAAGTATGTATAGGCACAATGATCTCCTTCACATTTGCTAAAGCCCAAGTTCACAATGAAGGAATCAGATCGCTTATACTAACACCTTGGTATCTGCTTTAGACTGTAAAGCGATTTGGTCAGCCGACAAACCAAATCCTTTTTGTCTTCTTCGACAAAGCCTTTAGGTTTAGTCATATAAATATCTTCTTCAAGATTACCATGCAAAAAGGTAGTCTTAACATCTAACTATTCCAACTCCAAGTCAAGTACTGCAATTATACTCAATATAATACGAATAGTACTTAATCGAACAACAGGAGAGAATATTTTGTTGAAGTCGATACATGATTTTTGAGCATATCCTTTTACAATTACTCGATATTTGCATCTTTTGACATTCCCGCTACTATCCTTTTTGAGTTTGTACACCCATCTACAACCAATGGCCTTTCGACCCTTAG